TCCAGGAAGAGACTTACGTTGTGCCAATTCGTATTTCCTTTGAGCCACTTGGAAATTAGTTAGAATGAACTTCAACTCCCAACTCAGTTGAAAAACCATAAAGATTTGACTGTCCAGAGGTGATCCGTAAGATATGCCAGAAAATGAAGAAGCAGACAACGTTGCAGTCATGTAGAAAGTCTGGTTAGATGCCATCATCCCAAACCAGATGAAACTATCGTGTCATCATGCATAAATGTTGGTATGTCAACTCAGAATTGAATAAATATGAAGTCTATGAGAGAGGTGGAAAGCACTTACGTAATTATGTATAAACCTTAGAAATACAAGTAGCCCTCAACTTATTTAGCGACAGTTCAACAGCATTGAAAAATGTGACTTATGACTGTTTTCCACAGTTATGACCTTTGCAGCATCCCCATGATCATGTGATCAAAATTCAAGTGCTTGCCAACTGGTTCACATTTATGACACGTTGCCGTGTCCCAAGGTCACGTGGTCATCTTTTACGAGAGTCGGCGGGGAAAGCCAGATTCGCTGGGATACTAACTTATTAACTGCCGTGATTCACTTAAGAGCTGTGACAAGCAAGGTCATAAAATGAGCCAAAAACTCACTTAACAAATGTCTCACTTAACAACAGAGATTTGGGGCTTAATCGTGGTCGTACGTTGAGGACTCCCTGTACACTTGTTTTTCTTTTTTTGCCTTGCTTTATGATTTCAAATGAATCCTTTTAAGTTTTCTGGTACTGCTAAATGATAAAGGACTTGGGTCTGCTTTACACCATAGATTTTAATGAGAACAAATCACTACAAATTGATTTCACAGATCAGTTCCGTGCAGTTAATATGTTTGAATAAATGAATGCATGAGAGAGAATTATGAGCAGGCCCCCCCAACTGCCAGAGGTTTCTGTGTAGTGGTAGATGGCTAATTGTTCTCATATGCCAGCTTTTAAAAAAAAAATGTGCTGAATTTAGAGAACTAAGGAAAATAAAGCTACGTTATGGTGACTCGAAATAAAAGTGTATTGCAGTAAAGTAGAAGATTATCCCACTAGAATATCTGCAAGGGGAGAAAAGGTTAAACCAACTTATGCCTCATCTATACTGGGAATACAAGTATGATTTCAGAATGATTTTTGCTCTTTTTCTCCCCCCCCCCCTTCTACTGTAACGCAGAAGGGGGAAACAGTCTAATGGGCTAATCCAAAACCCTGTTGAAATTAACATTGACTTTCGGCGTCTCTGGCTTAACCTTCCCCCCCCAGGAGGGTTATCTCAATAATGAACCATTTTTATTTTTT